TTTGGATCACAAGCTCTAGGGTGCTTGGGCTTCAGTGGTTGCAACACATGGGATCACTTGTTGCAGCTTCTGGGCTTGAGAGAACAGGCACAATAATTGTGGCACACAGGCTTAGTTGCTCTGTGATATGTGGGATCTTCCCCGATCAGAGATCAAACCCATGTGTCCTGCATTGGCAGGCAGATTCTTTACCACTGAGCCACCAGGGAATTCCCTGGTTGGAAGATTTGTAACAAATTCTAGAGAAGAGACGTATGAATGAATGAATGCATGGATCTATGACATCATCACACTGTCCCATGTGATTGCTCACTGGGAGTCCCTCACTGCTGAGCGTGTTTTCAAATCAGGTATTTCCACTCTACAACGGCTCTTTGCTCAGTCTCCTTCAGTTCAGTTCAGTTCAGTCACTCAGTCATGTCTGACTCTTTGCAATCCCATGGACTGAAGCACACCAGGCCTCCCTGTCCATCACCATCTCCTGGAGTCCACCCAAACCCATGTCCATCCAGTCAGTGGTGCCATCCAACCATCTTATCCTCTGTCGTCCCCTTCTCCTCCTGCCCTCAATCTTCCCCAGCATCAAGGTCTTTTCAAATGAGTCAGCTCTTCGCATCAGATGGTCAAAGTATTGGCATTTCAGCTGCAACATCAGTCCTTCCAATGAACACCCAGGACTGATCTCCTTTATGATGGACTGGTTGGATCTCCGTCTCCTTAAGACCTGCTTAACGAGTTCATGAACAAAGTGGCACAGGTGCTGGGGATGGAAGCCATGCCTAGACTCCATAACACAGATTCCTTCTCGTCAAGTTAGCTTGGCTGCTATCACTATGGAGTGTCCAGTTTGCCCACATCTGTAGCAACCAACCCCAAAACCTCAATACGGTTCCATACTGTCAGGGGAGTGTGTAATTTTCTTAGTTCCTTCTCGTCGCAACAAAAATTTGAAGCGACAGATGGACCAGCGTTACAGCTCTTGGACAGGCCAGTGTTACAGTTCCATCTTACGACTCAGTTTTGTTTAGAAAGTAAAGGAAAATACTTCCTAGAGTCATGAGGGAATGCCGACCCAAAAGACATGAAGAGAAGAGAGGCCCCCAGCTCAATTTTGGCTTCTCTTTTTATATGTTTTTTTCTCCTCCCCCTGGGCTAACCAGGAGTGCTGTTTGTTTTACCTGAGGTCCTCACTCCGGTCCTCGGACCTTCCTTTGTTCTATTTTTGCGGGCTTTTCCCTTCCTTATCTTTTAGCCACGGCCATTCTGGACTCCTTTTTTCTATTCTAACTACCTAATAATACCACCAAAGGATACAAAGCCACCCGAGCTGTCTTCTGGAATATGATGCCTTGGGCCCTTCCAGTGTAGCTAGGGCAGCAACTTGTCTATAGTGGGATAGACTCATTCTGAATTTGGAATTGGTTTCCCTGTGAGCCATGTTAGTGCCAGCCCCACCATCTATGGCATTAACTAAATGCCTTTTACAAAGTCATGCATTCTGCTCCAAAGTTGATTCTGATCAAGGTTACTTAACCATGTGCATGAGCTGCTGCTGCTGCTGCTGCTAAGTCACTTCAGTCGTGTCCGACTCTGTGTGACCCCATAGACTGCAGCCCATCATGCTCCCCCATCCTTGGGATTCTCCAGGCAAGAACACTGGAGTGGGTTGCCATTTCCTTCTCCAATGCATGAAAGTGAAAAGTGGAAGTGAAGTCGCTCAGTCATGTCTGACTCTTAGCAACCCCATAGACCACAGCCTACCAGGCTCCTCCGTCCATGGGATTTTCCAGGCAAGAGTACTGGAGTGGGGTGCCATTGCCTTCTGCATGAGCTATGGGGCTGCAAATTCTCTACATCAGTTTCACTAGATTAGGTCTAATGAGCCCAGGGTCCTGACCTCCTCAATATGCACTTTCTTCCAGTTTTATTCCATCATCAACCAGAACAGACTTTTTTTCACTTGGTGGTTTTGCTTCTTCCTAAAGGGAGCACCTCCATCTATATTTCTACCCCCTACCCCTGCCCCCCATGTTGAGAACTGCTGCTGCTTCTAGCTTGCAGAACTGTGAAAGAATTAATTTCTTATATGTGTGGTTGTTGCACCCAGTTTGTGATAATTTATTATAACAACCCTAGGAAACTATAGCCATATTCACTCATTGATTTCAGAAATATTTATTGGGCCTCCCTGCCATTCACCAAACATTCTTAAAGACACAAAGGAATACGGGGGGGGGGGGGGACAGATAAATAAGGTCCTTTCCAGCTTAGTAGAGGACAACATATACAGAAGTGAAAAAACAAACAATAACTTCAGATAATAGGGAGAGCTCTGAAATATATACAGCAATTAGAGGTTTCCTTTTAAGGATACCAGTGATTGATTTAGGGCCCACACTAGTCAAGTATGACCTTGATTATACTTATATTTTAATTTTTTGGTCATGCAGAATGGCCTGTGGGATCTTAGTTCCCACCTCAGTGAAAGCACTGAGTTCTAACTACTGGACTGGTGAAATGAATGTTTCATAATAAGCTTATGGGTGCAGAAGTAGACCCTCACTGGTGATTCAGTGGCACTCAAATGACATGAGTATACTAAAATATTTTAGACAGCATCATGTCAACCACACCTTACATAAACAAGGTAGAAATAAGACTTTGAGAGACTTCCCTCTCTCTTCTTTTGGACTAGATCTCAAGGCATGTTTCCAAAATGGTCTTGTGTGCCCAGCTATGATTTCAGAGAATTTTGACTACCAGTGGGTTAACTACTGCTTATCTCTAGACTGTGTATCAGTCTCAAATCAAACCATTCATAAGGGTAGTTGGAGCACATATAAGGACAGGGAGCCAGGACTTCACAGAGTTTACAGAACAAGTTATGTGAACTGTTTTTATGCTCGTGTGTGTGGGTGTGAGTGTGGTCAGTCAATCAGTCGCGTGTGACTTTTTGTGACCTCATGACTGTAGCCCACAGGGTCCTCTGTCCATGGAATTCTCCAGGCAAAAATACTGAAGTGGGTTACCATTTCCTACTAAAAAGGACCTTCCTGAGCCGGGGATTGAATTTGCGTCTTTTGTGTCTCCTGCATTGGCAGGCGGATTCTTTCCCACTGTGCCACCCTGGAAACCCTTGCTTGCTCATAAACGTTTGTTAATAACTGAATCTACTTATGACAGAATTCCATCTGAAATCAGCTCTCATTAAAATTCTATAGCAAGAAAAAAAATTCTATAGCAAAATTGTTGGGGAATAGTTAGCCTTTTTTTTTTTTTTAAACAACTTTTGGCAGCTACAGAAGCTACCAAAAAGACTAATAGATGTACACAGGCAACTGCCTGGGTAGTTCTCAATACCATGGGAACAGGGCAAGGCAAGGCATGGACCATCACTCAGTTTACATTCTATCTCTGTTTTTGTTTTTGTTTTGAGTTGAAACTGCTGGACCGCCAGGGATGTCCCTGTCAAATCAGGGATTTGAGCCTGATTCTGAATGTTCTGACCTCACACTGAGCCTGCACTTTCTGCTTTTCTCTTAGTCCCTTTGGTTGATATCTTGGTTGGCACTGTCTGTCTTCTACTTCAGTTTCCTTCTAGATATTGCCTTTTGCACATCCTTGACTCTAGGTGTTACTGCTGAAATCAAGCCCTCTCCACCTGGGAATAGCACAGGTTCCAGGAACTCGGCTTGAGACCAGTGCCCCAATTTCTCTTGTCTAGTCAGATCACTTGGGCATTTCTTAGACTCATGGGAAACTTTCAAGCCAGTTCCTATCCCAGTTGTTATATATACCACATTAGTCCTCAGCATAATATGACACAATTATTAACTTGGACTGCAAACTGAATTGAGAAAAACAAGGAGGTCTGACTTTAAATGATAAGCCTCAAAAGCTTGCTAAGAGGGGTATATTGAATAGCGCCCGTGACCATTGTAGATGTACATTGGAATCTGAATAGTTAGGCTTTAGCCTGGGCCAAGCCATCACTCCCTGAGCTACAAGAGTGCATACTTTGCCCTGGAGCTCATCTGACTTGGAAATGGGAAACAACCAAGTTGAGTCAAGATGTGGTCTGTGTTCCCTTTCAGAATTCAAAGGTAAGGATGACTTAGCAAAAATGTTTTGATGAAACTTCTTTTTTTTTTTAGTACGAGTGATGCAAATTTACTGATTTAGTTATAGATTTAAATCAGTGTCCTCTACAAAGTATAGGCAGAAAACAAGCTGTGGCCTGATATCAAATGTGTAAATAGGGATCAAGCAGCACTGCTAAGATGTTAGCAAGACTCTCTTACAGGTTCTATGAACTGTGAATTCTTAAATACCTGGAAATACAGCCAGGTATTTCTGAGTCACTAAAGGGGCCCGGGAGAGGTCTCCAGGGCTGGGAGTAACCTTGGGCCACAGAGTAAACCTGACTCCTCCTGTTGACCGAAAAGACCCCAGTCCTCACCCTTCCGTGGGAAGGTTCAGAGACCTGCCATCCTAGCTGTGTTATGTGTTTGCCTTTCTATCACCTCTGCTTGGTGATATGAAGGACCGTCCCAGAAACACCAAGCTTCACGAGAAGGCAATTTGAGAGGGCGTGAAGCGCAGGAAGTACTCCAGCCCAGTGATTAGTACCTTGGTCTGGTTCCTGGAAGGCTGCATTGACACGGGAATCAGAGGGCCGCGCTGCAACAACGGTCCATCTAGTCAAGGCTGTGGTTTTTCCAGTGGTCATGCATAGGTGTGAGAGTTGGACTATAAAGAAAGCTGAGTGCAGTTGCGCGTCGAGGCCCGAGCGGCCCGGCCCAGCCCGCGGCGGCTCCGCGTTAGTCAGTCATGGGGCGGCCGCCCAGAGCCGCCGCGGGGGCGGCAGGGCTCGGGGCTCGGGGGTCCGGCTGAGCCGGCTGCGGAGAGCGAGCCTGCCGCGAAGGCGACGGAGGCGGACGCGGGGCGACCCCGGCGGCAGCGGCGGCGGGGGAAGCGGGAGCCGCCTGGGATGTTCAGTCATGAAACGGGTCCGCACCGAGCAGATCCAGATGGCCGTGTCCTGCTACCTCAAACGCCGGCAGTACGGGGATGCAGATGGCTCACTGAAGCAAGGCCTGCGGCTGTCACAGAGCACCGAGGAGATGGCTGCCAGCCTCGCAGTCCAATCAGAATCTGGTTGTGCCAACATAGTGTCCGCAGCCCCTTGCCAGGCAGAGCCCCAGCAGTATGAAGTACAGTTTGGACGGCTGCGGAATTTTCTCACCGATTCTGACTCCCAGCACAGCCACGAAGTGATGCCTCTCCTCTACCCTCTCTTTGTCTACCTCCATCTCAACCTGGTCCAGAAAAGTCCGAAGAGCACAGTGGAAAGCTTTTACAGCCGCTTCCATAGAATGTTTCTGCAGAACGCCAGCCAGAAGGATGTCATCGAGCAGCTCCAGACCACACAGACCATCCAGGACATCCTGTCTAACTTCCGGCCGCGAGCCTTCCTGGACAACAAGTACGTGGTTCGTCTGCAGGAAGACAGCTACAACTACCTTCTCCGCTACCTCCAGAGTGACAACAACACCGCGCTGTGCAGGGTCCTCGCCTGGCACATCCACCTGGACGTGCAGCCCGCCAAGAGGACGGACTACCAGCTCTACGCCAGCGGGGGCTCTTCCCGCGGCGAGGGCGGTGGCCTGGAGCCCGCCGACGTGCCGGCGCCCATCCTGCAGAATGAGGCTGCGCTGGAGCTCCTGCAGGAGAGCATCAAGCGAGTCAAGGACGGCCCCCCCTCGTTCACCACCATCTGCTTCTACGCCTTCTACAACACAGAGCAGCTGCTGAACACTGCAGAGGTCTCCCCGGACAGCAAGCTGCTCGCGGCAGGCTTCGACAACTCCTGCATAAAACTGTGGAGTCTGCGCTCCAAGAAGTTAAAGTCAGAACCCCATCAAGTAGACGTGTCCCGCATCCACTTGGCTTGTGATATCCTCGAGGAGGAGGATGACGAGGACGACAATGCAGGCACAGAGATGAAGGTCCTGCGTGGACACTGCGGGCCAGTGTACAGCAGCACCAGGTTCCTCGCGGACAGCTCGGGGCTGCTCTCCTGCTCCGAAGACATGTCCATCAGGTACTGGGACCTGGGCAGCTTCGCCAACACCGTGCGGTACCAGGGCCATGCATACCCCGTATGGGACCTGGACATCAGCCCGCACAGCCTGTACTTCGCCAGCGGGTCCCACGACCGCACGGCGCGGCTGTGGTCATTTGATCGGACGTACCCACTGCGAATCTACGCCGGGCACCTGGCAGACGTGGACTGCGTCAAGTTCCACCCCAATTCAAACTACTTAGCCACGGGCTCGACCGATAAGACAGTGCGGCTGTGGAGCACCCAGCAGGGGAACTCAGTGAGGCTCTTCACGGGCCACCGCGGCCCTGTGCTCTCCCTGGCCTTTTCCCCCAATGGTAAGTACCTGGCATCCGCGGGCGAGGACCAGCGGCTGAAGCTTTGGGACCTGGCGTCCGGGACCCTCTACAAAGAGCTGCGGGGCCACACGGACAACATCACCAGCCTGACCTTCAGCCCGGACAGCAGCCTGATCGCGTCCGCATCCATGGACAACTCTGTGCGCGTCTGGGACATTAGAAGCGCGCACTGCAGCACCCCTGCGGACGGCTCATCCAGCGAGCTCGTGGGCGTCTACACTGGCCAGATGATCAATGTTCTGAGCGTGCAGTTTATGGCCTGCAACCTCCTGCTGGTGACCGGAATCACACAAGAAAGTCAGGAACATTGATTTGGATCTTTGATATGACAGACTGGGGCATACGAAGGGCTCCAGACGGCAAGTCTTAGGACAGACAGAATCACTGACTGACTGTGAAAGACTCCCCGTGTCCCCCCTTGCCCTGCCGGTGTCCCGAGCCCACCACTCTCCACTCAGCCCCCAGGTGTGGAAGCACAGGGGCAGGAAGGGTGGTGACGGGGAGCACACGTGAGATAGGAATCACGGAGACCCCACTGTGTCCTCGTGTGGCCCCTCCCTATCTCTGGCACCAAGGTGCCCTTGCCTCGCTGAGGCTGCACTTGACCTGAGGATGTTTGCCAGGCACCCTCCCCAGGAGCAGTGCCGCAGGGTCACCGGGTGGAAGGGACTCTCTCCAGGGAGGAATGCGGGGGTGAGAATTAGGCAAGGGGACAGGGTCATCCTGGCAAATGTTTTTCCTTTTCTGTGATTACAGAGAACCAGGGCTGTTTATTATTGTTATTATAATTATTACTGAGAAGAGGAGACCTAGCACTGGCAGAGGGGGCTTCTCTGCTCTCATCTTTCAGGTCTTACTCCTGGCACTGGCTGTGACACTTGGAGTTTTGAGGTTCAGGGAACTGAGAGAACTTGGTCGCGCAGTGTGTTGGGAGAAAGGGAAATCTCCTGAGTGACAGCTGGATCACTCCAGCTGACACGTTTCTGGAAGTGGGTGGGCGGATTTGACTGAGAAAGTGTTGGGCTCTTGCAGCAGTGGTGTGAAAGAAAGATTCTTTTTGTGGCTGCACTTCTATTAACAATTCTCTCCCCCAAAAGGTCAGATTGTGATAAAGAAATGAAAATGATTAGAAGTGAAAAGTCAAAAGAAAGAATTAAAAAATGTTGAATTTCCAAATGATTCCGAGGTGTGGCTTTTCCAGCATCTTTTCCTCCTGAGATCATCCCTCCCACCTGCTTTGCGATAGCAGTTTATTGAACAGTCTGTGAAACAAATCATAAGTATGAACACATGCATCGAAAACTATGCTCTGAGGATGAAGCGACTTCTAATTTGTGGGAAAAGGATTAAATATTTCTGTTTTCTGAAAAGAGTTATTTTGTATTTTGTTTTCTATTAAAATGTGTTTAGTTTCCAAAAAAAAAAAAAAAGAAAGCTGAGTGCAGAAGAATTGATGCTTTTGAACTGTGGTGTTGGAGAAGACTCTTGAGAGTCCCTTGGACTGCAAGGAGATCCAACCAGTCCATCCTAAAGGAGATCAGTCCTGGGTGTTCATTGGAAGGACTGATGCTGAAGCTGAAACTCCAGTACTTTGGCCACCTCATGCGAAGAGTTGACTCATTGGAAAAGACCCTGACGCTGGGAAAGATTGAAGGCGGGAGGAGAAGGGGACCACAGAGGGTGAGATGGTTGGATGGCATCACTGACTCAATGGACATGGGTTTGAGTAAACTCCGGGAGTTGGTGATGGACAGGGAGGCCTGGCGTGTTGCGGTTCATGGGGTCGCAAAGAGTCAGACAGGACTGAGAGACTGAACTGAACTGAACTGAGCTGCCTGGAAGCACCAGGAAACCCCCTCTGGAGTGACTTCTCACAGTGTCCGTGCACTGACAGGACAGTGGTTCTCCCCACCCTTGAGTGAGATTTCCCTAGAGCTGTCGTCCTGGAAGAACAAATACCACACCCCTGAGAGACGTGTGTTTTTTTCAGCTTACCTCTTAACCACATGAAGAGAGCCACGGCTGCTCATGAATGCAAGAGAGGCTGCCCAGGGGCACCTGCTGAAACTTGGCGTGGAGAGGCTCCATTGATTTCACAATTAGGGGCTGGGCTGGGCACTGCTGCCAGGTTTCCATGCTCTGACTTTATCCCTGAGTCAACATGGCTGGAAAGTTTACTCAGCTAAGTGAGCCTTGGATTCTCTGCACCGTCTCCCGTCTCGTAGCTTCATTATCTGTCTCTATACTGGTGCCCAGTGATCCCAGCCTTTGGTGCTGGAGGAGCCAGTACCGAAGTTCTCGGAAGTTTGCAAGAGAACATACTTTCAAAGCAGGTGCTGGCATCAGGCATTGGCTTATCCCTAAACTCCAGGATACCTGTAAGAATCCTAACTGTGGGAGCAAGACCATGGGGTTAACTTGCTAGAAGGTGTCATTTCTTTTGAACTTGACAATTCACACTGTGAGGAGAAAATCAGGCATACCCCTCCCTGTTGTAGACATCTTAAACTTTTGAACTGGTTTTCCTACCACCAAAATGCAGGCCATTCTTTTTAATTATTTAAATGTTCTAATTTTTTATTGGAGTATAGTTGATTTATAATGCTGTGCTATTTTTTGTTGTATAGCAAAGTGTTTCAGTTATGTGTATACATATACCTACTCTTTTTAAGATTCATTTCCCCATATAGACCATTCCAGAGTACTGAGTAGCATTGCCTGTCCTCATTAGTATTGCAGGCATTTCTTTTTATTTATTTATTTATTTATTTTTCCATTTATTTTTATTAGTTGGAGGCTAATTACTTTACATCATTGCAGTGGTTTTTGTCATACATTGAAATGAATTAGACATGGATTTACATGTATTCCCCATCCCGGTCCCCGCTCCCACCTCCCTCTCCACCTGATCCCTCTGGGTCTTCCCAGTGCACCAGGCCCGAGCACTTGTCTCATGCACCCAACCTGGGCTGGTGATCTGTTTCACCCTAGATAATATACATGTTTCGATGCTGTTCTCTTGAAACATCCCACCCTCGCCTTCCCCCAGATGCAGGCATTTCTTTAAAAAATATATTTTTTTCAATTTTTAGCTGCATCATGTGGCATTAGGGATCTTAGTTCCCTGACCAGGGATCGAACCCATGCCCCCAGCATTGGGAACAGGGAGTCTTAACCACTGGACTACCAGGAAGTCCCTGCTGGCATTCTTAAAACACTTGTCTTTCTCTCCTCTCTTTCCCTCTACCTTTCCTTCCCTCTGTCTCTCTTCCTCTCTCTCCCTTTTTCTATCCATTGCTGAGCTGCTCTCCTAATTCTACAGTAGTCATCTTTGACACATGCTTCTCCCTTCTCCCTAATTTAGTTAAGCAAGTACTCTTTTTATTTCCCCCTTTGCAAGTCTTTGGGCTTCCCTGATAACTCAGTTGGTAAAGAATCTGCCTGTAATGCAGGAGACCCCAGTCTTCCTGGGTCAGGAAGATCCCCTGTAGAAGGGACAGGCTACCCACTCCATTATTTTTGGGTTTCCCTTGTGACTTAGCTGGTAAAGAATCTGCCTGCAATGCAGGAGAACTGGGTTTGATCCCTGGGTTGGGAAGATCCCCTGGAGAAGGGAAAGGCTACCCACTTCAGTATTCTGGCCTGGAGAATTCCATGGACTATACAGTCCATGGGGTTGCAAAGAGGCAGACACTTGCAAGTCTTTACTTCCAACTCTTTTCCTCTTCCCTGGATACTCCTGTATTTTAAGCTCTTGAAGTTGGATTTAACTAACAGTCTATATTCGAACCTCATGCTAGCTGCAGAGATAAAAGTAAATATAAGATTTAATCCTTGTCAGCAAAGTTATCCTTGTGTGTTTTGGGCAAAACATAAAGATGGGGAAAGCTATATAGTTTCTATAGAATAGATATTGAATGTGTTGCCTTAAAAATAAAAAAAAATTTGTGTGCTTGTTCGAAATATTTTTGCTGATCAGTGCTTTGATGGGATACTCCCTGTGATCCTCAAGTCTTTCCTCAAAGAAGTAAGTACCCACTAAAACTAACCAACCAATCAACCAAGGCCAAAACAATTCCTATATTAGAGCTTATTTACTCTATCTCAGGTAATGACCTAAGTGATTAATAAAAAGTAGTTTGTATTATAAATATAGCTCACAAACTTTGAGTCAGTTATTATGACTCTTCCATTTATACAGATTAAAAAATTAAGCACGGAGAGCTTGAGTAAATTCCCCAAACTTTTATGGCATGAACTGCAAAAGGAGTATTCAGATGTAGGTGGAAGACCTGACTGTAGATCTTAGGCTCTTAGCTACTACATCAATGGCATTCAACGTATTGGACTGGGACCCATTGTTAGAAATATATTTTGCATTGTGATCCAGTGTTATCTAAACTATTCAGATAATGAAACTGAATCACTGAAGGTTGAGTAAAGTTTTTCAAGTAAAGGACAGAGCTAGATTTTGAACACAGAACTCTAGTTTCAGAATCCATTCTCTTATATCAATCACATGGTGTCATGCAGTATAAGCTTAATAGATATGTTTAATGCTCATCCCATTTTGCATTGTAGGATATTTGCTTTAGCTTTGCCATTTGTAGTTTTCTGGAATGGGAAGCAACAGACTTCTCTGAAATCTCCAGAGAGGTGATCTGGCATCGGAGACAAGATGGACATATTCTGGGGCCAAACATCCCATTTTTCTACTTGTTGAACGAGTTCTGTGAATTCTCACAGTATTGACCAATGAATGCACGTTGCCTTAATTATCAAGTTTCTATAATTTCAAATCATTAAGCAATTTATAGAATTAAATGCAGCACTATAGGCTAATAGACATTTAGAAATGATCTTATTGGTAACGATAACCCTATATGCAAAACAGAAAAAGAGACTCCGATGTATAGAAGAGACTTGTGGACTCTGGGAGAAGGCAAGGGTGGGATGTTTCAAGAGAACAGCATCAAAACACGTATATTATCTAGGGTGAAACAGATCACCAGCCCAGGTTGGGTGCATGAGACAAGTGCTCGGGCCTGGTGCACTGGGAAGACCCAGAGGGATCGGGTGGAGAGGGAGGTGGGAGGGGGGACCGGGATGGGGAATACATGTAAATCCATGGCTAATTCATTTCAATGTATGACAAAAACCACTGCAATGATGTAAAGTAATTAGCCTCCAACTAATAAAAATAAATGAAAAAAATAAAAAATAAAAAAAAATTTAAAAAAAAAAGGATATAAGCAATAGGTTTTATTTTTGTTTTTGCATTTTTAGGAGCTAGGCATTTATTATTTTTAAT